GGAATTAAGCTGCTTTTTAAAATGTTTAAAATGTTATGATCTTTTGAGGCATTTACAGTAAACATTAAATCACTATTCCAAATCTCATCAAAACTGTATTGACAGTATAATGGACACAACACCTAAATTGACATACTTCTTAAAACAAGAGGATCAAACTGGCTGATGACAACTTCCATTGCCACCCTCATGCTATAATGCAAATCCTATTTCTCGAAGAATTTACAGTGTTATCCTCTCCCTCCCACACACGCACATTTTTCTGTTACTGACTTTTTCTTTACATCCACAGTCCTTTTACGCTTGGCTAACCCATGAAACCCCTGTTGAAGTCAATGTGTTTTGATGTAACTGAGATCAGAAATTAGGGTGCAAAGCCTTGTCTAACAGAGACCATAGTTTGCTGCTTATATTATGTATTCAGTAGGGCTCTACATGGATACACAATGCACAACATTGGGTACTTTGTTTTCTCACAGCTATGCATACCAATACAATAAATGTCTTGCTAACAACATGCACATACTGCTTAGGCTCTTTCACTGTTCCTTTGTTTTGTGAGAAAATGTGCATGTTAATGACCGAGAGGATTTTGAGGTCCTGTGGCTGTGAATAAATTATAGAAGCTGAGGGTAGAAACTCAGCATCTGACCCTGGTAGTAGCATTCCCTGTGAGGAAAAGAAAGAGCATTTGTATACACTGCCTATGACACTGCATTTCTTTTGCAGGATATATGAAAAACCTCAGTTAGCATGGTCTTCTCAGCCCAAGACTGATAAAGATCTTGCCTACTGGAGAAGAAGAGGACAAGACTTTAGTGTATTGCTGGGTTATTCTGACAAAGGAGACTCTGAAATGAAAGGACTGGCACCAACCCATGGGCTGCACAGACATACTAAAGAAAGTCAGCTGGAGGTAGGTGCAGGAACAGAGTATGTGGCAAGAAGCAGTTTGCAGGACAGCTGTAAAGTGCCTGGCGATTACAAATGGCAGAGTTTAAGAATGGAAAGCTGGAAACAACCTCAAAAACTAGGAAGACAAATGTCAGACAGTGAGAGAGAGAAACTGCTTCAAGACCTATACTCATTTACCCTAGGAGATAATGGACTTAGCTCCCATAACAAAGGGAAATCACAATCATTGCCAAGAGTTCTTTCACCAGAGAGCCTGAGGGGTGTGGAAATGCCCTCCCTGACAAATAACAATCATTTATTTAGTGGAGCTAAAGCACCCTCTCATCCCCCAAACAGAATGACTTTGGAATCCACAAAATACCCTGAAACTGGATGCCACTTTCTCCCTTTGGCCAAGCCCAAGTATGGCAGACCCCTGAAACCTCCATCCTATGAACTGTACCAACAAACAAGGGCCTCTACAGAAACCAGTGGCTTGCAGAACCACCAGCAAAAAGATGAAGCAGTTTCCTATTTAGCCAAAGTTAATGAGCCACGGCAAGATGTTTGCATTCAAGACTGTAACTTGGAGCCCCCAGTCTATGTACCTCCTCCATCTTACAAATCTCCACCTCAGAGAAGCATGAATCAGCATTCCCATAATGACGTGCCTAACTATGATGTATACTTCAATAATGAACAACAGCATCCATCAGACAGGCTTGTTGTCTGTCACCAACCATCTACCAGTACATTTGAGATGGCAGGGGAACACCGCAAAGAGGAACACCTTCCTCAAGGAAGACAAAGCCGTTCTAAGCGCATTGATGACTACATGAGTTCTGTTCAGTATATTCCTTTTGATGATCCTCGAATACGGCATATTAAAATAGCACACACAGAGAGTCTCCAGGACAATGCTAAACACACCAAAAATACACATCGGGCCAGTCCCAGTACTTTGCAGGAGGGAACTCTCGAAGTACAATATGATAGTGCCTTTATGGAAACCTCAGACTTATCAGATGCTGTAAAGGGTGAAAGAACATCAGGCAGCTCCATCCATAACAGCAAGTGGTTGGCAGCATCCTTTGGAGATCAGGAAAATTGTGCCTTCCCTGACCAAAGAGACAGTTATACCACAAGTAATCACATTCCCAGTAATGAAACGAATACGGAGTACACAAAAGGCAAACTTTCTGTAGGAAACCAGCATATGGATAACACCTGTGAGACTGTTACTAAAGTTAAAAAGTTTGAACCTAGAGCTGGGATGCAAAACAAAAGGAGTTCAAAGAAAAAAATGAATGAAACTATATTTTGCTTGGTCTCTATCCCAGTTAAACCTGAATCAAATTTGCCAGATACAGATAGGAACAACAACTTAACAGACAGCCCTGATAAGAATGGGTTTGATAACAATGGGGCCTTGCAAGAACAAAGTCTATTAAGCATGTCTTCAACTGACTTGGAGTTACAAGCTCTCACAGGAAGCATGACCAATAAAAATGAGTTACAAAAACAAGAGCTGTGGAGACCAGAGGAGTTCAAACAAATGAATGACCTCAGATTTATTCAGCCTACAAAACACAGGGAACTCAAATACTCTGGCTCTTGGCCAGGTGATCAGTACAAAGACCAGCAGACACAGACCAATTTCACTGAAGGAACTAAAAGCCCTCAGTTTTTCCATGGCACAAAGCCTGGTGAACCAAATAATAAGTTGATGACTCCAAAATTCTTAGAAAGTGTGGCATCTGTAACAGGGTTAAAACAGGCAGAGTTGCCTCCGGATGATAGAAAATGTAGGCAGAATGCATACAACATAAAAGGTCAAATGTACCTCAGTCCATCCAGCAATAGTGCATTTTCCAGGACTGCCACCTCAGCAATTCAGGTTCCTTCACCAAAGGCATGCCAGAACCAGCCTTTTGGGTCCGTCGCAACCATGGCTGGACAAGAGAGGGAAGCTAGCACAAGTTTCAAAGGTGATTCGGTCAAGGGAGAAGCAAGTGCTCCCTGCAACAGTAGGGAGCTGTTTGGTCAGTTTCTCTTGAAACCTGTAAGTCGCCGTCCCTGGGATGCAATAAGTGAGTTAGAAAGTTTTAACAAGGAGCTTCAAGGACAGGAAGAGAGCGCTAGTAGTGAAGATGGTGTGGAGAATGAGGAGAAAGCACAGCAGGACACCATTCCTGAAAAGATAGGGACTGCCCCAACTGAGGAAATGGGCCAGGAAGTGAGACCTGGTAAGCAGCTAAAAACAATTGTGCCAGAGGTTCCAATATTTAAACCAGGAAGAGTCAAAAGTAAGTCTGAAAGTTGGAGTACAGGGACTGAGTGGGGTGATCAGCATGCCCATGTTGGATCACAAAGCTCCTTGCATCCAAAAGAGATCAGTAAATTAGTCAGGCCAGCAGATGGAAGTGTCATAACAGAAACAAGAAATGATGAAGCCAGAAGAAAAGCAAACCAACAGTTCAGTCGTGCAGGCCTAGTCAGGAGAGCTCTGTCCAGTCATGCACATCAGAGTAATCCTTTCAATCACGCTGACTCAGAGGAGGTGAATGAAGATAAAACTTACATAGATTTTGTAAAACTGGACAAAAGTGCAGTTCCCAGAAGCAATAAAGCTTTAGAGAAAGGTGCTACAGTACGATTGTCCTTAACTAATAGAAATCAAGGTCACTCTGAGCCAGATTTAAGGTCTGTGGGACTTGACATCAGCTCTGAGCCTTGTATTAACCCATCTGAATTTTCTTCAGCTGAAAATGCAGCGGAGATTCCTCAAAATGAGTCTCTGCAGGCGAGGGCAGCAAGAATCCTGGGTATAGAGGTAGCAGTGGAGTCTCTTATTTCTGGTGACAGAGCTGGGCTCCACCCACCCACCAGCTCTGAAAATGGTGTCCATGACTTTGAATCACCAGTAGGGAGAACTTTAGATGATACAGTAGAAACAAAAGATAGCTCCTATGAGAGCAGGCGAAAGTGTGGTTGGACAAAAAGCTCTCTCTTTGTTGGAGATAGGGACCCCTCTTTGTGCACATATCAGAGCATCGACCAAGAAGCCAGTTCTAAAATGCTGATAACTGAGCCGAGCTTTGAACAGTACAAAGGTGTTGAACAAGATGAGGATCAAAACCTGCCTTGCAAATCTGTTGCTTATCAGTTTGCTGAAAGAAACATGAGTATCCCAAGCTCAGAAAAGAAAGTCAGAAGCACCTCTAAGGTGATCGAGACATTACAAGGCAAACTAACCTCTCCCCCTAGCCGAACTGTCATGGATCGTTTGGTGCGAATGAAAGAAGTTGACTCAGTTTCCCGTATGAGGCGTCTGAGCATCAAGAGCGCAGATTCAGGAGAAGACATGGATGAGGAGAAACAATCCAGGTTACAAGAGGAACGAGGGAGCAAAATGGTGACCACAGGTGCTGTTTCCAAACGCATTATCTCTCTCAATGAAAATGGACACTTAACTGCAGTAGGCAAGAAGAAGATTGACAAAGATTTTTGTTTCGGTAAGGCCCAATTTTGCCATATCTGACATTCAGGAGGGGAGGGAGGGGGGGACAGTGCTTTAATAGGGATGGTACTTTTTTTTTTCCTGTGATATCCTCCAAGGAAGTTGTATTCCAGAAACTGCTATGTACTGCATCCCATTTTATAGTAATTTAATAGGTTGAAAACATATCCACGGTGAAGCAAACTTTTTTTTTCTCCAGTGAACATTATTCTTTACATTAGGGGTGTCAAAAACGTGGCCTACAGGCCAGATCCAGCCCACGGAGCCCTATCATCCAGCCTACAGTGCTGCCCATGGGTCTCAGATTAGACCTGCATGCCACATGTAGCACTTCCCAGACAAGCCCATGTGCTGTGTACAGCATGCACCAGCCCCCACCTCCACCCTGGCCCCAGCACCAAGTGCTCCATGTGTCACTTAGAGGGCATGCCAGTCTAGCATGCACAATGTACAGGGTGGGAGCTGGTCTGTGGCATGTGCTACATGTGGTGCGCAGGGCTGGTCTGGGGCCTAGAGCTGGGCCAGAGAGCACACTACTTGCTGGACCCAACACGCAGGGCTGGTCTGTGGGCCTGATCCATGCAACCTGATAAGTTTGGCTCTACATTATTACTATCGCTTGGCTTCTGGTTTTCTATGCTCGTTCATTAAGTTTTAGAAATAAGGAAAATACTCAAGTCTTTGCCTTTATCTAAAGGTTTCAGAAGACTGCTTATTTCAAAAACAAAGTAGATATGTTCACTATAGCTGCTGTTCTTGTTTGTTCCCAAACATGGCTCAGTTTAATCGTAGGGTTTCCTTGAATGCCTAGGTTTTTCTTCTGTAATTATTAGGTAGCACCACACTTAGAGCAGGGTCGTAAAGAAACAAAAAACAGATATATAGGGCATCTATATGTGTGCTCTGGGGTAGGGGTGGGGGGCATTTTGATTAGAGCAGCTTGCAGGAGCCCCTCTAATCAAAATGCTTGCAGTGTCTTGTATATTCAGTGTCCTGCACTTCAAAATGGTGGCAGGGGCACTTTAGCTAAAGCTTGTTGTACAAGCACTAGTTGAAGCACGCCCATTACCATTTTGGAACGTGAGGACGCTGAATGCACGTGGGCGAAGCTGCCGGAGCGTTCGAGTGGCCGCTCCAGCAGACTTGATTACTGACCCCAGTTAGCACGCTTTGGAGCGGGCGTCCCGCATGCGTACAGCCACCCATAATGATGTTCCACTGTGAAGCTCCCAGGAAAGAGTTAGCTATTCAGCTTGGAAAACTGTTTGTCTCATTACTGTATTTCCAGACCAAATGTTTAAAGTAACTGAGATTTCCCAGAGCAGTTGTAAAGCTGAATCTTTCAGTGTTTGGTACCACATACTACACAGGTAACCCCAAGTTATCCTGTGAACTGCTCTACTCTCTGAAATAAGTTTCCCTCTGATCCTGTGAACATGGTGATATGATACAGAAATCAGTTCATGCCTTTAAGTATGGCATCTCTCAGTCTGCAAATGGTTAACTCAGACATACCACCATTTCTTCTAATATTGTAAATTGGTTGCAGAGAATAAATGTCCAGGAATTGGTAGGCATGTTAACTCGGCTCCTTTTCCTTTTCCCCATCTTCCCTTTAAGAGCTGGCAATCCACCTTGAAATTCACAAGGACTACTACTTATTAAACCCAGTCAATGTATATCTATTTAAAATTCTCCAGTGCATAGAGAGGTAGAGATTAAGTCAACCAGACTTTAAAGGGGTGTTATTTATTTTGCCCCCAGGAAATGAACTGCATGAATTCTAAATAGTACAGCTGACTCTCACACCCCCGCTGCTCTTTACTAGGATTCAGGCCTTAATCTTCCTTTCATTTCCTGCACCCCTATACTTTAGACTCTTTCTTCTTTGACCTATGCTCTCTACTTCAGACTTTGTTTTGTAGGCAAATCAAGTTTCCTGCATCAGCCAGGTCTTCTATGTTTCCTTATGCCCTCCTCTCTTGGGGGGTTTTGCTGGAGCAAGAACAGCAACTGAGATTCCATAGAGCCCTGCCATGATTTGCAGCTGCAGGGATGTATCAGAGGTGATGTCCTGCCACCTGTGTCCTGGTTTCTGCCACAGTTCATCAGAATATACATGCCTTGCATTTTGAGGTTGTTCCCATCTGGGTGATATTCTCCTGGAACATAGTGAAGACAGTGCAGAGTTTTGTTCCCTTATAGCTATAAGTGTATTCCCCACAGCTGGATAGTATGCCATCTTCTTTTCACTTGTCAAATCAGCTACAAGGTTTGGAAAATACTTCCCAACATCCGCATCTTCCTACTGAAGAAAACCTCATTTGTATTAGTCACACAGACCTGAAGCCTCAGCTTCCTAGGCTTAGCCTAGCAGAGAAAACTGAGCTTTGTAAAAGAACCTCATGCATATCCTTCCCTACAAGTTCACCCCCACATCTCATGATAAGTCACTATGTAAAAAGAGGGCAGACAGGAGAGGGGTTCCAGTCTGATGCCTAGACCAGTGTGAAAATGGCTGAACTATGTTTTTTCTAGGAGAGGGACAGGTTGGTGTCTATCTCTTTATTTCAGTGTAGATCTACTGCAGAGGCTAAAGGGTTCATCACACAGAGGTTCTTATACCCTGGCTGTGCAATTTAATACAATTACCTATCAAATGTACCAGTCATTTTTCAGTGAGGAAGTTCCACTGACCCCCTATTGAAGTCACCAACCTTATTCTGCAGCTGTTCTCAGCATTCTCCCTAAGGGCTCTAGCCATGATCCGTGTGGCCTCTGTTCAGGTTGCTGAAGGTTCAGGTAAGCCTTCAAAGAGTAAGTAGCATGAGTCTGTGACCTGATTTTTCAAGCACACTGAACCCCTGCAGATCTCTTGGGAGATGCTGAAAAAACAGGCCCTCGGGGCTTTAAGGAAAATTGTGATTCTAAAATGTGATGGAGCGTCCACAACCTCTCTGGCTAACCTGTTCCAGTGCTTTACTACCTTCCTCATGACAAAGTTTTTCCCAATATCTAACTTCAGGGACATTACTCCAAAATCATACCAGCATGATGAGATGAGAATGGGGAATTCATTGGGGTCAAGTAGAAATGTGTGTCTTCAGAGCCCTCAGTTTAGCACCAGCACTGAATTCACAGACATGGTGTAAAAAGGTTGTTAATTATTGAATTTTTACCTGACTTTTCTAAAAAAATAGTCTGCGTGTGAGGGCTTTTTAAACCTGATTTTAAATTAAGAACATATTTTCTCATTTCCTTTGCTAGCAACATGTAGTAGAGGTTGGTAAATTTCAGAACACACGACTAATCGGTTTTTTTGGTTTTGCTTTTTTTTGTTGTCTTCAGATGCATATGATCCCACAAAAGTCGAAAGGGTGTGAGATGACCCAGATGAGGATCAGGAGACTTTTGCTCCACCAAGAATGTTTTGCTGATGTTGCTGTTTTTAACACTTGGAAACTGCCTCCATTTGGTGTTTGTGGTGTATTGATAAAGTCTTTACCATTGCCAGTAGGGACATTAGTTATTCATACAAAACTGTTTTGTGGAGATCACAGAAAAATCTGATTCTTACATTGGGACCATCTGGTTTTTGTATCATTAAGACTTAATGCCTACACTTGGCAAAGTGTTTTCATCTAAACTATGTTTAACAGACTTCAGCTGGGATGGTAAACTGGATGAAGTCAGGCTTCTGAGCTTGTTCCTCTGTGTAAACTTAAATGTGGGAAATTAATACAATGATTTTTAAAAGAATGTGAATTTATAAGCTAAACTTATGAATCTTTGAAGTCTAAATCTTGTTTAACTTGAGAGATCTTTGGCCATGAGACTTGAGTCACGAGTGCTGCTGCACTGAGTGGGGAGAAATTTCAGTGAGAATGCAGGACAATGAGAATGAGTATTCACTGACTGTGAAATCCATTTGGACTTCCAAAGTTTGAAATGACTTTGACTAAATACTTACTGGCCACATGTAAAGAAAATAAAAGCCAAAACCCCAACGCTTCTAAAAGTTCAAGACTTTTGTAATACAGTGTAATTGCAGTAGCAGGCAACTGATATTTTGAACCAATGCAAACTATACCACTGGCTGTTTTGCACTCAGTATTATCTATTTTTGTTTCGCTGTTTAGAAATCTTTATATGACAAAATAATAGCTGGTTTAAAATAGCCCATTTTAACAAAGTAACTATATTTCTTGTTACAGAATACTGTCTATTTTTCTACGATGTAAACAATTGCTAAGAGTGGCAAGTATAAAGAAGTATTATTATTATTATTATTATATTTTAAGAAGAATTATCCTTTTGAGGGAAGATAACCCAAGGAGGGTCCCTTGCATATCTTAATGAGCATTCCATATGACATCATATCCAGTACTGTTACTTTCTTTTGTTGTGAAAGGAGCAATCTATCTATCTACAGGCATGTGTATGTATTAGAGAGTCAATTTCTATATCCTTTTCCCTTCAACGGTTGGATAGTTCTTTTTGGAGCAGCTCTTCCGAGAACGCAGCTGAAAGCCGTCTGTGCTGGTGTTGCTGCCATAACATTCCACTGACTATAGTTACCAAAACGTGGTTTTGGATCCCTGTCTCAGTGTCTCCAAGCAGCTCTGATAAAATACCTGGGTTCATTTCTTACATTTTTTTTACATGATGTGGTTTAGGGTTAGGCTAGTATATGAAAATAAATCAGTCAGGACCAAATTAATCTCTGAAGTCAGTAAACATCACTGGGAGATGAGATGGATTTTAGATTTGTTGGTGAGACATTCAAATATATGGTTTTTTAAAAATATATTTTGTAGAGTATAAAGCCTCTACGTTCTGCTCTTGAAGTAACCGGCACAACACTTGTTGGAAAGCCTTCATGTCAACTTCTGCATGATTTTTCTTTTTTAAATGCTCTTGTTTGCTAACATTCTTTTGGTGATTTATTTATGTTTCAAGGGTTTCTTTTTCTTTCCTTTTTAGTCTTATAGAACAACCTTATTTCCTAGATGTTTCAGATTCCTGAAATGTTGGGCTTGGGTGGTCTGCAGTTTGGCAAAAACAGAAATATATATATATAATGCTTTGGCAGCAAAATTTTTTATCTGTAACACATGGTTCTGTTACACTTGAAATATTTTAAGCTTGTTATATTAAAAGAAAATTCAGTTGTATAATTTATTTTATTGAATCTTGTACACTTTCTCCAGCTGTACTCATTAACACTCTGTATCTATAAATCTTACCTATATCGATCCTATTTTTAAACTCAGCCTTCTTTGGTTGTAGATCTCTAATAGGGTGCATTGTCAACTCCGAACCAACAGCAGCCAAGGTCTGTGTTAGTAATGGTGACATTCCCTATAGTTCTCTAAGCAAAAATTCATGCTCCACTATTAAATGAGCCACTTGATCATTTGATTTCAGCGATACCACCAAATTGTAAAGCCTGGGAATAACGTGAAGTTTTCAATTACACTTCAATTTCTGGAGAATTGTAAATTTTCATCTATTGCCAATCCAACTACATTCAGCTTATGTCTTTATGGGATAATCAATTATTCTGGCAGTTTTGAAGAGGGGGAACAACAGTTTTTACAACACATCTGTTCTATAAATCATAGAAAACAATTAAATACCAAAACATGTAAGCAGCTAAGATCCTAAAGAAACATAAGCAAAAACATTGGAGGTGAAAGTTTATTACCTAAGTCTGGAAAATTAACATCTAGAGAGCAAGTTCATAAAGCTTGCTTTATAGCAGTTTGTGACTGGAAGAAGAAATGCTATAAAATACAGTTTATCTAATAACATTAGTCACTTCCTTTTTCACTAAGACAGCATGTTCAGATCTATATTCTAGGAAAAAGGTGTTGAACTTAGCTTGTGCCCTGGGCAAGATCCAGGTTGCAGGGCTCCCTGCGGGGCAGTTCCATCCCAGGGCATGCAGCAGCAGCAGCAGCTCTAGCTCCAAGCCAGGGTACACACCAGTGGTGGCAGTGGCAGTGGGAGTGGCACCTGGGCTTCAGCATAGAGCACATGACAGCCCTAGATTCTGCAGCAAGCCATGCCCCACAACATCCCATGGCCTGCCAATAGCCTGGCAGCCTGGATTTAGTAGCTGTGCAGGCCAGACCCAGCTTGCAGGTCTGTCTTATGTTTTACACCCCTCCTCTAGAACATGCAATTTATTAAGAAAATACCGTCCAGTGGTTGTGTGGTACAGGTGTCATTGTTAAGAAAGAATGTCTGGGATAGAACCAGAGCTGGCACTTTAGGTAAGTATTTGGCATTTGGCAGAATTTCCTTAGGAGTTAACAATCAGCAACTTTTTAGATATTTTGGGGAAAATTTTCATAAGAGCCGAATGGTTAATATAGTTTCCCTCTCAGGCCATTTCTGGTGGGTATGTAAAACTGTTGCTGTACATGACAATAACTGGAATTAGTGGTGGTTATTCAGAAAAAAGGACAAGGTTTGAGTGGAGATGGAGAATAAGGGTCTGATTATCCATTGCCCAACACCTTTTATAATCCTTGCACCAGTGCCTCACAAGAGTGTAAATTACTACCAAATCAGAACAGCAGTAGAGAATCAGGGACTGAATCTTCTTCAGTGTAAGTGGCACCTTCAAGTCATGGCTGAAGTACAGTAAATGGAAGAAGCAGAGGAAGCTTATGCTGTTGCCATCCCACTGTATCCAGTCCTCAGGTTAACAGGGTAACAGACTTCTCTTGGATGGTCAATCTGGTGGCTTTTGTGATCTTGCCTTTTGCAGGTGTGCCCCAAAAGCCTGGAATTACTGCCTACTTGAAAAATAAAGGGGAGATAGTTCTGGTGATTGAGACTGAATTAGGAAACCACCATCTTTTTCCATTTCCCTATCAATCTTCAGTATGCAAAATCAGTCCGGGGAATTAACGGTGTTCATATCACTCAGTGCACTAACTCCACTGCCTGGGTTCCAGATGGGGATGGACCAAAATCCTGGGATACCTTCCTTCTGTCAGAGGATGACAAGCAAGTAGTGAGCTTCTGGTGGTATACTATCTCTATTTCTCTGTGTTGTTTACTCCCCTTGTTAACCACCAGTGAAGGGGAATCGCTCAGACCCCTATCTTGCAGAAGGGGACTAAGTGCAAAGCCTGGATATGCAAATGAAGTCCCAGTGGTGTCAATGGGATTTTCCATAGGCACACAAATATGCCCAGAGAGATGCCTGCACAGGGTGGGGATTCATCTGAGCTTTCTATTTTACTTAAAAGATTCTTTACTTTCCTAATGCTGACTACACACCTTGCCAGAGGGATGAATTAAAATGAGGAAAGCGTGGCCTTGATTAAGGAATGAGCGGAGGCCTGTGCTTAAGTCCCAGTCATGGCTGAATAGAGAAGGATTGCTGAACTGAGCTTTTTGAGAGTGGGAGGGGTCTATTAATAGATAAAACAGGATTGAAATACCCAGCGATGTACTTGGGTAAGCACTCACCCAACCATTAAATTAACTCAGAGCAACCTTTCTAGGAGTAAGAAAGCCCACAGTATTTCAAAGCAAAAGTCAAAGTAGATCATATTGGCAGGGTAACTGTTAATTCAGATCATTGTCTCTTATATGCATCCCACCTGGCTCCCTCAGTTTAAACCCAGAGATCAGACATACAAGTAGTACAAAAGACACTAGATGCAAGTACTTTAGGCACTGCAGCATGCAACGATTCTTGAAGAAATTGGTTGTTTATAGTATGTGTTTAGAATGTTCAAGTTATAGAAAAATAGTGTGTCAAGTTTGCGCCTCGTTGAAAATAACCAGCCTGGCAGAATTATTTCTGTATAAATATTTGAATCTAGTAAAATGCTTTTGCTTGTTTAATCTTGCAATCCAATGTTAATATTGAGGGTCAGTGTTCTGTTGCCGTAGAAGTACATACCCCCTGACGAATGATGGTGTTCTAATGCTGAAATTACTGCTGGGATTAGAAAGTTAACTTTTTCTACACATATCATCCATTCAACGGAACTGGGGGAAAGGAGAAAGAAAGAGAGAGAGAGTGCAGGTGGGGAGAAGGTAAACCTTCTTGCATTACTAATTCTCTGTAGTAAAAGTGTCTTGATTTGGGTCACAACGTCCCAGATTCAAGATCTCCAGTTTAAACTACTATAACTGGAAACAGAAGCTTTTCCTGATGGGATCTATCAGACCAAAGAGGTGAACAAAGTAACAAGACAAAATTGAAGAGCAACCTATGTTAACTGGTATGGAGAGACTTGGTAAACTGTCTATGGACTCATGGGTTCTGCCTTCTAGGGTGCTGGCTTTTTTTAGGGTACACTCAGCTGCCATTTGACAGTTGGGTCATTATACCATCATCCTTACTTATTGGTGTAAGCCTTCCTCACATGAGTAATGACAGTGCTTTTGTTAGGATCAACTGGAAGAGTAACAATTTAGGAAAACCATAGACCAGGAGTTCTCAAACATGAGG